GAACTTCTTGGTATGTAAGATACTTACAGGCCACAAAAAGAACAGTATTGTTGCTATTCCAAGAATAGATTTGTCACCAAGCGAAGCAACACTACCATTCCGCCTTAAAAGAAGGCTGTTTCCTATAATACCAGCATTTGCAATGACGATACATAAAGCACAAGGACAATCATACGGTTGTGTTGGTATTTACCTTCCAGAACATTGTTCACACATGGTCAATTATATGTTGCTTTAAGTAGAGTTATAAATAAAGATCAATTAAGAATTGAAATGTCTGCCAATTCGAATAACTGTGTTGACGATATAGTCTACAAAGAGCTATTATAATAAAGACTCGGTATGTAATATCTTTAATGTACTACATATAATATGCAGTAGATATAAATAAAAATTTTTAGAAACTAAAGAGTTCTTTGATAACTAGGATTTCTAAATACAAGAAAATTACATACACAGAAGTGTTCTTTAGAATAACTTTCAATTCTAAAATGTACGGGAATAATACATTTTATTAAGTATGGAAAAATCATATTTAATAAATGAGCGAGCTATACATATAATTCTTATGTAGCAGTGAAAAAAATAATAAAACAAATATTTTAATAACGAAAAAGGGTTATTAGAACTTGGAAAAAAATTAAACAACATTTAGCCAAATAACGCAATTATAATATTTACGTCCCATTTTAAAACATGACAGCGCGGGCTAGTAGTTTTTTATAAAATATTTAAACCAATAAAACTTAATAATGATTGTCATAAAGAAAGCGACCAATTATTATACTTAAAAGGTTGTAATCAGAGTTTTTGTCACGAATTGTCTTAAACAATTGATTATTAAAAAATGCATATGGTTATTGACAATAATACCACAATGGTTAGTAATTTTTGCTGCTAAACGCGGGATTAAATTTTTAAGATAGAAAAGTAATCTTTAGAACTACAAACATGCCAAGACATTTCTAATACAACAGTGTCATCAGCTATATGGAACATTTAAAGGCTCACCCAGTGACTTTAAATAGCTTTTTACGTTTTAAACGAGGATAAGAGGCAAATACAATCATATTTTATATTGCTTTATGAAAAAAAGACACAGAATCGTATGAAAATTATTAAAATTTATTATAAATGATATGAAGATCGAAATAGGTGCAAACCAAACACTTATCTTAGGTTTTGAATGTGCTGGTTTTAAATATATTAAAAGCGGTGTACCTCAATATTAAATTTATGGTTGTTATTTTATTTAGGTTAAATCATTTGGCGACGAATTGGATATTTAAATTTAGTAGGTTAATATAAAATTAACAAAAATTTCAAATTGGCAGTAAAAAGGATGCTTGCACTGGCTTTTGTTCCTACAGAGGATGTAATGATGATGGCAAACAAATTTCATGTCTATCTACATAATTTAGACTTAGAATTTGTAATCTCCCCACTTAATTGGTTTGAAAAGCATTTTCTAATTATTAATACAGATATAGTAACAAAAATACTAATTTCCGGAGCGGATATGAAAGAACTATTAAATGTTTATCAAGAGCAATTAATTCGCTGGGAGGCTATTGCAGACATCCAAATTCATAAGTAAAAAGAAAATATACATAAGACACTATACTTGTTAATGAAAAAAGAAAAGAACACTTGGAGGCAGAAAATTTCTTAGTTGCTTCACTGTATGTTGACTATAAAAATCAATAGAAAAATTATGAAATATTCAAGATAGTTACAAAATACAATTTTTATGAGGGCGTTGATTATATAATTGCTGTTGTCATAAATTTTAATTGAAATTAAAAATAAATTTTTTATTAATAAGGGTTAAAAAAATTTGTGATGAAAAATACGTACAGCCGATCTTTTCTTAGTTTCATTCTCTCAAAGGATTTTTTGTTTAAATAGTTTTATTTTAATTTATATGATATTTTTGAGTCTTAATTTACTATTTAAAAAAGTTTATTTATTTTAGGTTTATTCTTAGTTCAACTGATAATTAAACGTTCCTTTCAAAGTCTTCGTATTTCCTATGCAATTTTCTGATAGAAATCACATTTTTTATGACCTTCCATACAGCGTATTAAGGTTTTTTTAAGCTCTATCTGGGAGAGAATGCCTCAAGACACATCTTTGACTATATCTGGACATAAAGGTTGATAAAAAATACTTACTTGTAATTTATTTTTATTAAAACTGTACCTCAGTCGGAAGTACTCATTTTCAAAAAATATCAAAAAATATCATTTTTTAAATTTCTTATAAAATATTACTTTTAGTAATTGAATTTTGATTCCTATTCCAACATATTGTTTAAGTATATGCATTAAATGTGAGTTTATTTTCAAAGAATTTTTGAAAATTATAATAAAAATAATTCTTTTTTTTATTCTTGAAAATTTTATGGTAAAGAATTCAA